ATGCTATTTATATAGATTATTTAATACGGACAAAATGCACAAATCACCATGATTACATCGCGTATTTATTTGATAGGCATAATTTTGCCAACTCGATAATTTTATTTACTAAAACCCAAAACCTAGTTAGTAGTATTGATACAATCATTGGTATAACAACCTTAATACAAATTATCGATAAAATTATATGCATCATGATTGGGATCTACGTATTAATTAATGCCGATGTATTAATTGGAGTAAACGTATTGACTAAAATTATTGTTTTCACTACTTTAATTGATGCGTTCATTATAATAATCAGTTGTTTGGTGTGCGATGGCATCACTAGCAGGGTCAATAAAATAAAAGACACATTGAGCGAGATTAATACATGGGAGTTGACGGCTACAGAGTTTAGGCAATGGCTTAAGTTTACAAGTATTGTTGAAACGCACCCCACGTTTGGGTTCACTATTGCGGGCTTTGCTGTCATTGATAAGCAAACACTCATTTCGGTTAATATAATAAAATATATTTATTTTAATTTATAAAATTATCGATTTTAATTTTATTTATATATTCTAGATAATCACGTTTATATTAAATTATACGATCATCATGGTTCAAACATTAAATTAAACAATAAATCTGTAAGATAAAATAAATATTTAAAAGTAATTGTAAAAGCAATTGTAATTCAGTTTTCCGTTTGTATTGAATTTTATGACAAACAAAAAGTAAATGTTGTTAATGATCATATTTAATTTATATATTAATTATTATAATAATATTAAATAATTATAATTCATAAAAATAACGTTACTGATAATCTAAATTTATAAATATAATAAAGTGAAAATTTAAACAAAATCTAATTAAATTCTAGTCTTAAACCAGTAATATATTTTTACCACCATTTTAATAAAAATATTAATTTATTAATTATTGTATTACAGTTTATAGGTAGTAATTAACATGGTTAATTTACAATCATTATTTTAATAATGATTCATTCAATAATTATGATGATTTGGTTGTCTGTAATAAGATGACGGTAAAATTGAGAATAAATATTAAAATCTATAAATTGTAAATAAATAACTCATTAGTAAACAAAATATAACAATTACTGTAATTATTATATACCGCTATAAGTGTAGACTTGTTGAGTACAGCAAACCCGGCGATAGTAAAGCCACATGAGCTGGAATTTTTAGCGATATCCTTAAACAGCAATAATTCCCGGAACTCCCGATCCGTGAGTTGGTCACCGTTGACGGCGTCCAAGACTTCCCTAATATTATCCAATTTCCTGCCGACGGAACCGCATATCACACACGAGACCACCAGTTGGACAGTGAATGACACCGACGACAGCGCTATAACAGTAGACATTGACTGCATGTTTTGCCATAAGATTGTGGTTACATATATGGACATCATTATTGCACAAATGACCACGATGGTATTGATAAACAAATTATGAGCAAGTTGGTTATCAAAGAATTTAATGTACGCCTTTATTCTTAACACCAACTGTTTATTTTCTTGCAGTATTTTAAATTTATTGTTAAGATTTTGTTTATCTAAAAAATACAAATTATTAGTTATGGAAAATAAATTTATTTTAGCTTACATGTATATGAAGCAAATAAAATCTTGGTTATTTTGTCAAGTATATTACCAGCTATTATAGAAATAATCCAGGTAATTCCTGATGTAAGCCAAACTTGCCATATCATATGATATGTATCAAATATTTGAAGTAAATTATTTGTAAAAGGAGTAATTATAACATCATGGCCGCACATGCCAATTAAAATTAGTGTGTTAACCAACCATAGTGAAAAACATATCAATAATTGCCATTTAATTATTTAATTGGGATCCAAATAAGAACCAAAATAGTTACCAATATTGGAAATTATCTTAAATCCTCTAATATTATAATAATATAAGGTATAGACTCGCAAATATCGGATCGATACCAAAATTAAAATCATCAAGGCCATTACAAAGATTGGATATTCTTTGTTGGTAAAATACTGGTAAGATTGTATTGAAGTAAATACAATCTCCACAAATATTACTATGAAATAGATGTAACCATAGTATTTCCATAGGGTTGATATGTATGGGCGACTATTGCATAATTTAATGTTCAATCCACCAAATGTTGCCCCAAACACCCGGTTTACCCATAATGTAAATATAATAAAGTAGTTTAAATGTGAATTTACAAATTAAAGCATTGTGAGTGTTGTGGTTTACTTGATCTATATTTTACTAATATAAATGTATTTATCTATTTTAGTTTTATACTAATTTACTCGATTTATGTTATTAATGTAATTGATGTCGACAGTATGTTTGTATAGTAATATAAAATAAACATTATTATAAGTAAAAATTCCTTTTGTAAATATGTTAACTTATTTAATTACATTCCTTTTAAAATATTATTTATTTAAATCAATAACAGCTTATAAAATAAGTTTATTGAGTTATACGGTATATACTAAGATCCATCACAAATTTGAAGGGCTTTAAACAAAACTGACGTGGTTTATAGTTAACCTTGTTAATAATGCAATACCACTCATGTTAATGTACACTATACATGATTAGGCAATGAATCAGGTATAAATTACAAAGCATATTAAAATATTATTTGCTCCTACAAGTGCTCCTAGACGATAGCTAGTATATACGTTATTAAACATAACAAAGCAATGTTTTGCGTCATATAATTATTTACAAAGTGATTGATTTTGATATAGTTTTGGTCTTTTTAACGAACCGATTCATGAACTGTTCGTCCGATAGACCCATCTGTAGGCGTATTTACGCGTATTTCATATCCTCTCGGGTTTAGTAAATGTTTTAATAGATTACTAAACCCGAGAGCATCTGAAATACGCATAGAAATGTGGGTTCAATGCCATAGACGTAGTTATATATGAATATCAATTGACAATTAATGCAAAATGCAATTTCAGTCATTGTTACCATCTTCATGTGAATGCCAGCGCCAATGATATGCCAATGATCACCACATATTACGGCAATTGTTTCATTCTGATCATCATCGATTTTACATTAAATAACAATCAAATTGTCAATTTCAGCAATGATTGTGGGTGAATAGTACCATGGTCGTTTGGTTGGTATTGTAGTTTTGAATAGTGAAAAACCAATTCTGTACAATTCATCCATTGCTGATTGTATCGGCAATTTTTAGAGTTTTGCTTTTTCTTTTTAAATATCATTTAATTTAATTAATAACAAACATATCATGAAATAAGTTTATTAAGTTATAGTGTATATACGATATTAAACATAACAAAGCAATATTTTGCTTACAAAGTAATTGATCTTGAAGATCTTGGTTTTAACAAACCGATAGAGGGATTGTGGGTCTGATAGACCCACCCTTTGAAGGGTATATCAGATGCTTTCGGGTTTAGTAAACCTTTTAATATATTACTGAAATAAAAGCAAAAATGTCGGAAATGTCGGTTTAATTCCATTGCACTTTCAATTATTGCCTAAACAAATGCTTAAATTTTTAGTTTATATTACAGTATTTATAAATTTATACAACTATTTTTTAACTTACCTGAAATAACGTAACAACTGTAATGTTTTATTAAATTATTTATTTTAAGACATTAATGTTGAAAAACATATTTATAAAATTCATTTCTTTTATATTTACTCATTAATTATAAAATATAATTTATTTTATGATAATGCACTTTTATATTTTTAACTTAACATTTGAAAAATATTTTCAAATATAATGAACTAATACGATACTACAAACTTTAATTATAAAATAATGACATACTAAATCATTATTAATAATGTTATTACATTGTGTATATTACATTAATGTAAAAATGTATTTTATATTACTAGTATACCAATCAATTCTATCCTATTATTATAATTTACAATTATTTTTAAAAATAAATAGTAAATTATTTTAACTGAAAATCAAATTAATTATGTCACATTGTGATTACTATAATTACTAATTTTAATATAATAAATGTATAAAAACGCAAATATTTACATTTATTACGTTAAATACAGTTGTCATAAACATATAATTAATGAGTTATTTGTAATTATAATTCCTTTATACAGAATTATGGTTATAACAATTATTCACCATCCCTCCAGAAAATAAGCATGATAATTTTATTAAAATTTATATTCATTGGTTTCTATGTTTATTTTAGGTTTATCTAAATTTTTGGTAATATTTAGTTGACAATAATATTTATAAATAAACATTAAAATAGTTATGTAAAATGTCTATTTTAATATGATTATAATTGTTTTTCAATATCTCACCTTTTTAAAATATCATAAAATCTATAATTATTTAAAATAATTTTTAAAGTAATTATTTTATTTATATATGTTATATTGTTCAAACAGATCAATAATATTTTATTATATTAGTTAATTATTATGTTTAATTAAAAATAATTTTTAAACTTATTTTAATGTAACTAATTTTTTAACAAAAGCTTGTAATTAATGTTTACACAATAAATTTGTAGTATATCAAACGCATCATGTGAATTACATGATATAATATGCTCTAAAATTTTACATTTTGTTAAGTTTTGTTTTTAAAACAAAAGTGAATTAAATAATATTTACTATAAAAACTTCGTATATAAGTAAGTTTTAATAGTATTTAATTGCATATAAATTATATAATATCATCTTAATTGTTGATGTTATAACAATGATTAAATTAATTGTAATAGCATATGGTACTTTTATTATATATGAAATACATAATAGTAATTCTTAGAAATATATGCGGCAAAAATATGCTAACTTATACTATTTACAATAATTAAAACCACCATATTTAATATAAATTCAAGTAATTTTTATTATATGTGAACAAACAATTCAATCGACTATTTGTAATATATATTTATTATTAATTAACATAAAATAATTTTAAATAATTAACTATTTAAAAATGTCATATGCTAGGTTTGTATTTATAAAATTATAAATCCTGTGGAATCGTAATTTTATCTAGTTAAATATTGTACTTATTAAGTTCTAGAGGTTTTAGCACACAATCGTATGCTTGTGGCAAAAGTGATCGTGATCTTGAATATGTGCGCTTCATAGATCTACTCGAGCAAACACTTTTGCTTAGTAAGTAAATAATATACAATTTATTTAACTAACGATTAATCAATGAAACTAATCTAGATGCGAATAAGACTGCATTTATTAGCCAATATGAGAACATAAGCAAAACGTATGGCGACATAAAGGGTGATGTTAATAAAATTGTATTACAAATACACGCTCTTGGTAGATGCAATTATAAATAAATGCTAAATTAATTGGTAATATTTATGCTTGTGTTTACATCAAGGTCTTAACAGGGGCGATGTAGCTGGAATATGGAGTTGTAATTCATATAGCTGGGTATTTGTAATTATATTTTAAATTGTTTTTTTAATTATTAGCATTAAACTTTTTTTTAATCAATAAGGTACCAATTGTATACGCGTGTAGCAAATTGGGTATTGTTTTGTGTCCAATCAATCAGGCGTACAAATACAAAGAATTGGCAAACGTGTTAAAATTAGCACAGATTAAATTACTATTTATGCCCGGTTTAAACAGTTCCCAGGATCACGTTAACGAATACCATGTTGTTTTATTAGAGGCTCTTAATTGGACAGATATTGTAAATATATTTTGTATATTGTAACAATATTATTCAGGTTATTTATATTATATTTATTAAATTAAACAGAATGATGATGATGATCAGATAATATTGCAACATATTATTTCAATTTGTGGCCAGGGTTTTAAAATTACACATGATAAATATACAATACGCACGCATATACTATACAAGGCAACTGTGCATTATACAGATAATATACTGGATATATCTAGCGCTCAGGTATCGCCCGAAGATCCTGCTTTTATATTATTTACCTCGGTTAGTTAATTAGCATTGCATTATCTGTTTATTTAAATACTATTGGGCAAGCGGTTGTTTAATTATTTCTCAAATAAACCAATCAAGAATAAATTTCAATTTTTTAAAGTTTTGTTAAATTAATAGCTTTTAAACAATTAAATAATAAAATTATTTTAATATTTTAGGGAACGACAGGAAAACCTAAAGCAGCATGTTTATCTCAGTTTAGCCTTGGTAAATAAAATTTGGTTTTATACTAATATATCAAAATGATTTACAGTATATTTGTATTCAATAGTCAATAACGTGATTCAAACCTGTCGTACATTTTCTAACCATACTAAAACATTGTGTTGCCCTGTACCATTTTATCACTCTATGGGCCTACATGCAATAATTGCTATGTGTGTCTATCCAACTAAGCTAGGTTAAATATTCATAAAAAATAATCTTTATTTTATAGGTTTTTAATTGTTAGTTTGTTTAAAAATATACTTTTTTATCGTGATGATTAGTGATCACAAACTGCATGCACAGTAACAGTCAATTGGTAAACACATTAACTCGATTCAAATGCACCGACATGTTTGCCACACCATTTATGGTATCAGATATGTTGAGTTATTTGGAAATCAATAGGGTTTGTTTGCCAGACTTGTATGGCATCACCATGGTTGGTTCACCAGTGAGCAATGAGTTGGCCACTCGCATTCCGCTGGTTTTACCTAGATGCACCGGTGCTCGGGTTTGTTATGGCACTACCGAAACAAGTATTGTTTTATATGAATTGTTAAAAGTTACAATATGATCTAATTAAAATATTTTTGATTATTTACCAGGTTCGTTTCAATGCATATCAAATTATATTGATTGCTCGTATTTTCGTCTTGAAACTATTGGTAATATACCAAAATTGTTGAATTAAATTATGATGTGTCATTAATACAAGTTTATATAATATAACACCTATGCAATAAATTGTATCAAGGTCGCCCAATTGGACATACGGAAATTAAAATAGTCAACCCATCGACTGGTCGTGTTGTTAAAATTGGCGAGCAAGGTGTTTATTTCAAAATAATTGTTATTAATATTTATTTTATTTTATTAATGTACCGATGTTTTAGGTGAACTTTTAACTCGTGGATTTAGCCAGATGCTTTATTACTGGCGCGACGAAACTAAAACCAGGGAGGTGATCGATAATAACGGGTGGTATATAACCGGGTGTGTTTATGCAAAATTCAATATTCTATTATGTGCACATTTTGTATAATTATACTTGTAATCTAGCGACATGGCGATAATGGACGAGCATGGTTATTTAAAGATATGCGGTCGTATTAACGACATGATAATTGTTGGCGGCGAGAATGTCTACCCACAAGAGGTGGAAGATGTTTTACGCAAACACTATATGGTTAACGATGCATACGTGAGCAAGTTCAATTTTGTTGATAAAGTCATTTGAAAAACTTTATTATTATGATTTTTTATTAAGGTTATTGGTGTGCCCGATAATAAAAAAGGTGAAGAGATATGCGCTTGGATAAGATTGAATCAGCTTGATCATATGCCCAA